CCCCCCCCCCCCCCCGTCCCAGCAGCGCAGGCTCCCCTTCCTTAGCACAGGCAGAGGGGGGCAGGAGGCACTGTGGAGGGTAGGGGCCGGGGTATCATAGAGTGGGGGCTTATCAACAACAGCAACGTCTTCCTCACTGTTCAGGGGGCTGGGAAGTGCGAGATCAGGTGCTGGCAAATCCAGCAATGGGGGGAGGGGGTGCTGGGGAGCTCTGGGCGGGGCTTTATAAGGGCCCTCCTCCCATCGGGATGAGGTCACCTGGTCACCTCCCAAAGGTCCTCCTCCAAGTGCTATCACATTGGGGTTTAGGGTCCGACGTGTGAATTTGTGGGGGGGGGGGGGCGGGGCGGGGCACAGACGCTCTGATGTCATCTGCAGCCCACGGGGCAGGAGATTATAACATCACGGGGCGGGGGGAGGCGTGTTCTGGGGGAGAGCCTCCCAGCCTCACCACCTCCCTCCCCATCAGGGCGAAACGACATCTGAATTTGCCCGAAACCCCTTCTCCGTTTTGCCCCTTACAGTGTTTAAAATGCAGGATTTCCCCTTCCAGCCAGCCTCAGACCCGCTGCCGAAGTCAAAGATCCTTTCTTCCCTCCTCTGAGCTCTGCCAGCTCAAGGCCACCGCGGGGCCACCCTTACGGCCCCTTCGCCTTGTCTCCCGGGGCTTTCGTGCATTTTAGTTGTCTCCATGCCCGTTCGTCTAGGCTTTTCCGTTTCTTCTCAGCTGAGCGCCTGGCTTGGAATTCTCTCTGCAAAGAGCTGATGCTGAAGCCATAGTCATTTTGAATTTTTGTTTTCCTCGGTTTTGTCTTTGGCGGTTAATCAACGAACAAGGCCGCAGATGACCCTGAATCCGCACGGTTTCCAAACAGAAATTCTTGCAGGGGCTCGGGCCAGCGTCTGCGGGCGTCCTGCCCTCCTGCGGGGGTGGGGGGGTGGGGGGGGTGGCAGGAGGCCAAAGTAAGTTCCTCCTCTGCAAATTCCCAGTGTCTTGCCATCAAAGACAGTCCCCACGTGCGCTGACGGTTCTAGAGTGTGGTTTGTCCACCAGGAACGTTTCATTTCTTCCTCCTCTGTCACCTGGCCGGCCTCCCGAGTCAGTATGGCCACTGGACCAGAACAGAGTGGCATCTAAGTCCCTGGACTGAGGGGGGGGGTGGCAATGCTTAGACATGCTCTGGGTCCACTAGCCACGCGTCCTGGGCCTGTAGCCCGCCCTCTTCTGTGGCTGCTGTGGCCCCTTTCCAGCGTTTTTGGTGGTGAGTGCTGGCCCTGGGTCTTCCCTAGATGTCCTCGTAAACCTTTCAAAAGCGCAGCCCCACTCTTGCATCTAGCTGGGCCTTAACCTCCGCGAGGCAGCATTAAAACTCCTGGCTTCCTGTCACAAGACGCCCGTGCGCTACGTCGGCAGGCCAGCGCTGGGGCATCCCGTGGCCCTCACCCTGCGGCTTTCCACAGAGAGGCCAGGATAGCGAGGACGACTTTGATGAGGACCCTGACCACTACGTCTGCGGGGGGGTCCCCGGGCAGCCGTCAGGCCTGGAGGAGGAGCTGACCCTGAAATACGGGGCGAAGCACGTGATCATGCTGTTCGTGCCGGTGACGCTGTGCATGATCGTGGTGGTGGCCACCATCAAGTCCGTGCGCTTCTACACGGAGAAGAACGGACAGCTGTAAGTCGGGGAACAGGGGGGGGGTCGGGTTCACGGCACCTGCAGCCTCTCGAGGGAGGTTTCGATCATTGCAGTCAAAAGAGCACAGAGGGGCGGCAGCGAGAGGCCCGCCTCTGCTCATCACCCGCTCCTCTGGGGGGTCACCACTCCTCTGGGGGTCACCCGCTCCTCTGGGGTTGCCGACTGCCTCCTTCAAACCTTGTTACTGTTTTTAGTTCGGGAGCTTACCTTTCATTTTGGGTTGGTTTTTTCAAAGAGAGGAGCAGAGGGGGAAGGCCCCCCCCCCCCCAGGCTGGTCGGGGGTGGCAGGCTGGGGCCCCAGAGCAGGCGGGGCCCTCAGTGGGCAGCCCTGGGTGGACAGGGCCAGGGCGAGGGGCCGGCGGAGGGCCTCCCCAGTGCAGCTGCTGGCCTGTGTCAGGTGGGGTGGGGGAAGCGGCCATTGAGCCCTGGGCTGGGGTGGGTGCTTGCGGGTGCCCTGGCCAACAGGAGTGGGGAGGGCTCGGGGAGGGGGAGCCTGGGGGGGAGGGGGAGAGGACCTGGGGAGGGGGAGGAGCCCTGGGTGGTGGGGAGGAGGTGTCTGGGGGAGGGGCCGCGGGGTGGGTCTGGGGGAGGGGGAGGCCTGGGGGGGCCCCTTCCTTGCCCCCTGGGTCTCGGGCACCAGGCTGAGGTTGGGTGGCTCGTGGGCAGGCCCTATGGAGCAGGCAGGGAGCAGAGTCTGCAGCCCGCCGTCTCCCTCAGCATCTACACACCATTCACCGAGGACACGCCCTCCGTGGGCCAGCGCCTCCTCAACTCCGTGCTCAACACCCTCATCATGATCAGTGTCATTGTGGCCATGACCATCTTCTTGGTCGTGCTCTACAAATACCGCTGCTACAAGGTGAGTGCCCGGCCTGCGGCCACCTCGTCCTGCCCGCCGGCCCCGCACCGCTCGCGGAGCCGCCTGTGGCCGGCGGCGTGGCCCGCTTCAGAGCAGAAGCCGGTTTTCGCCCCGCCCCACACTGCCTGCCCGCCGTCACCGTCCTTTGATCGGACACAGAATCCCACCTGCCCGGGTCCCTCCCCGCAGTGTTGGGAGAAGCGAGATGTTCTGTTTCAGGCTCCTTTCACCCCGCCCCTCGCCTCTCCGGCAGGTTTATTTGCCCTTCCCGTTTCCCCCTGGGCTGGGTGTGACGGGCGCGCCCTGTGGCTGCAGCCGGGGCCCAGGGGGTAGCGGACGAGCAGAGGCCCCATCGCACAGGCATCGTCCCAGGGAGTCTCCTGTCCCTTTGTCCTGCCGTTTTCTTCTCCGTAGCCCTTGTGACTACCTGTCAATACGTTTATATGTGTATCGGCTGACGGCCCTCGCCATGGTCGGGAACCCTGCTGGCTGCCTCCCCGGAGCCTAGGGCCACGCCTATAGGTGACAGTTGTCCAGCACGTCCTGTGTCTCCGTGAGGGAACAGGGGTCTGGCTGCTTGGACCTGAGGGATTTTTCACCCCATCCACCTGCCGGGTGACCTTGAGAGAACTCCGTGAATTTCTTTGCCCCCTCAATCTGTCACACGGCCACCCGGTGCCTTCCAGCATAGTCCCAGAGGGGCCTAACGAAGATTCGGAGGCTTGGGGGTCAGTCCCGAGAAGCTGGGGGCCCGTGGTCATTCTGCCCGTTTCTGTTGTCTAGTTTATACACGGCTGGTTGATCATGTCCTCGCTGATGCTGCTTTTCCTCTTCACCTACATCTACCTCGGGTAAGCGCCCCCCGCGGGCAGCAGGCTCCTCGAGGACCGGGGCGGGGAGGGGTGCCCAGCAGGCTCCAGACTCTCGCTCGCCCGTGTCGCTGCTCCTACAGCCAGGCCTCCGACCCCTCCTCCCGTGGCCTCTACATGCGCCAGTGGCGCTCTCGGCAAGCCTCTCCATCCCTACCTGGTTCCTGATGGATGATTTAGATTTATTTGAGAGAGAGAGAGAGAAAGAACGTGAGTGAGCAGGGGGCAGGGGCAGAGAGACAGGGAGAGAGAGAATCTTAAGCAGGCTCCAAAAGGGGCTCAAGCCCACAACCTGGGATCAGGACCTGAGCTGAAATCAAGAGTCGGACGCTCGGCCGACTGAACCATCCAGGCGCCCCCGGTTGCTGATTTAAAACAAATAAGCACGGAGGATAAATTCTGTGAACCCAAGAGGGATATACATCCCTTAAAGTTTACATTCTCCACTTTGGGCCAGGCCTGGGTGCTTCCTCGTTCGTGGGAAAAGTGATGTGCTCTCTTGCCCTCGATTTGGGCTCTCAGCCTGACCCAGGGGCCCAAAGGGACTGGAGGGACAGGGGAAAACCCTCTGCCACGGACCTTCTTCCTGGGCATGGGGTCCTCCAGGCTGTGCCGGCACACGTTTACGGGAGCCAGTCCAAGGATGAGACGTTGGTATACATTCCCCACCTCGTTCTGGAAAATACTTCAAGTGGGTGGTTGTGGGGCTCACAGAAACGGGGAAGGGGAGATTGGCGAGTGAAGCCAGAGGTTGGAAAAACCCGGGCTGGGACTTCATGGTTGAGGAGCCGGGAGTGTCGAACTGTGTCTGGTTGGGTGTGGTCTCTCCACCGAGTTCCCCGCCCCACGGGCTGGCCCTTGGTCGTGCAGGGAGGTGCTCAAGACCTACAACGTGGCCATGGACTACCCCACGCTGTTCCTGACGGTCTGGAACTTCGGGGCGGTGGGCATGGTGTGTATCCACTGGAAGGGCCCCCTGGTCCTGCAGCAGGCCTACCTCATCATGATCAGCGCCCTCATGGCCCTGGTGTTCATCAAGTACCTTCCGGAGTGGTCCGCGTGGGTCATCCTGGGTGCCATCTCTGTGTACGGTAGGCGGGCTCAGGCGGGCCTCGAGGCTGCGGGCGGGGGCTGCGTCCGGGTCGAGTCCCCCTCACTGGTGCACGCGAGTGGCAGGTGCTGAAAGGTGCCCCCCTCCCCGAAGAAAGCTGGGTTGGGTGGTCTCCCCTCTGAGAGGCTCGCCTTCGTGAGACGCCGGCGCTTGACGTGGCCACTGATAATCGCGCATCCGGTGAGCGCTCGCGACACCCTGGAAGCAGTTTGCTCCTACGTCCTCGGCCATGGGATCGGCCATGGGACCCTGTAAATGCTGAGCACCCAAAGCGTTAGCTGCCGTGTAACAAGCGTCGGTGTGATTCTGTCCCCGGTGCCGTGACTTCCATCTGAGGGTGAGGAATCCAAGGCTCAGGGAAGTCGGATGGCAAGCCGGCCGTCGGGGTCCCCGAGCCACACGGCGATTCCTCATTTGCAGTCTGCCCGTTGAGACCCCGTTCTGGGCTTCAACCAGCACAGACTCGCGGTTATGGCTGGAAACCGGGGGCTGGGAGCTGGCACGCAGGACATGCTCCGAGCCTCGCCTGTGCCCCGGTGTTAGCAGGCCGGCTCCTCTCTGGGGCTGCTTGGGAATAAATGTCACTTGTAACACGTCCCGGCTGTCTTTGTTCTGCCAGATCTCGTGGCTGTGCTGTGCCCCAAAGGGCCACTGAGAATGCTGGTGGAAACGGCCCAGGAGAGAAACGAGCCCATATTCCCTGCCCTGATATACTCCTGTGAGTATTTATTATTGAGAGAGAGAGAGAGCGCGCAGGGGAGGGGCAGAGAGAGAGAGAGGGAGACACAGAATCCGAAGCAGGCTCCAGGCTCCAGCTGTCAGCACAGAGCCTGACACGGGGCTCAAACTCACGAACCACAAGATCATGACCTGAGCTGAAGTCGGACGCTTAACCGACTGTGCCTCCCAGGCACCTCCTGAGAGGGTACTTTGGAGAGGGGCTCTTGAGGGCGGGGGTCTGGGGTGCAGGGTGCACTTGCTTTTCACTGGGCTCCCTCGACAGCTCCGTGGCTGTTAAAGTCTCCGAAGGGAAGGGACACGGGAGTGCGCGGGGCTGGCCGCCGGGCAGGGATCTGGGTGTTTATATGGATTCAGTGGATGTGTGTGGGGTCCCTGCTTTGTGGTGCCCTGGCCTCGTGGGGAAGGAACACTTTACAGACTGGGTGCCGAGTGCCAGGGCGGGATCTCGAAGGCAGGACGGAGCTTGTGGTGGGAGCCAGGGCAGGTGGTCCCCAGCGTGGAAGCACGTTCTAGGCCCGCTCTTGGGAGGAGCAGAGACCCTGTGTGAGAAGGCTGAGGCCGTGTCCTGACGTGCGTTCGCAGCCTCCGCGCTCTGGGGGCGCACATTCCCGGAGGGGAGGCCGCAGCTAAGCAGGCGATAATAGGTCAGGAGGTGAGCGCTCGGTGGAAAGATGACTCGGTGGGGGACCTGAGCACTTCAGGGTAGTGGGGGTGCTGTCTTGCAGAAGGTGGTCAAAGAAGCCTCTGGCGTAAAGTGACATTTGACCAGAGACCTACCTCGGGAAAACCCGGGGAAAGAACGCCAGGCGAAGGCCCGGGGTGCTGGGAGCGGAGCCAGCGGGGGGCAGAAAGGGGCAGGGGCAGGTCCAGATGTGCTGGGCCCCGCAGGCCACGGTGGGGACGTGGCTTTTCCTCCCGAGTGGGCCCCTGGAAGGTTTCAGACCCACCTGACGTTACATTTTAGTGGCATCGCACCGGTGGCGGGAAGGGAGAACAGAAGGCGTGGGGTCAGGGGCGGAAGTGGAGCCGGGTCTGGGACCCAATGACCCCCCCAGGAGAGAGGGCGGGCGCCGGCCCCAGGGCAGCGGGAGAGGCGGTGAGGCGCGGGTGGAGTCTGGAGGTATCTTGGAGGCAGGTTTGCAGTGGCCGCGGTGTGGGTGGTGAGAGTGCTGTGGATCTGAACCTTGAAAGGGCCGGGGGCTGCCACGTCGGGGGAGGAGACGGCGC